GGGACCAAATCGAGTGGAAAATACCCTTATGTTATGTCTCAACCCTCTTAAAACGGACCTACAGATCACCCGAATATAATGGCGCAATTACATTTGGTCGTTAGCCCGTATTCGGGTGCATGAAAGATTTTACTCGAATTCGGACACCGAAGCAATATTTACACTGGAAGATGGTGTCGGGTAAACAAAAGGAAATCTACCCGAATACAGTTGTACTCGAGTCCGTTCATTTACACTTTGTCGTTTACCCGTTTTTTTTATTTTATAGATAGGTCCGACAAATGACACCACCCCACCTGATGTTAAGTGAAGGTGAAGTCCATTGGCACTCGTATTTGGGCTAACAACCAAGTCTAATCGCGCCATAAGCCTCAATGTAAACACTGTTTTTCCACCAAATACCTTTCCCTTTTTCCAATTGCATTCCATTTTTTTAACTAGAAATTATCGCTTTAATTTCCCTAGCGGCAACAATAAACCTGTCCAGCCATCCCTTATTCAGCAACCCGCTTTATTTACTCAACCTTATTCCAACTAGTTAAGGTTCGTTATTGAAGCATTCGTGTCAAGTTTTACCTGTCGTTACCTGTACTGTGTCAACAGTAGACGAGTAACGAGATGAGTGTTCAATTTCCGTTCACCTGGCTTATCGCGACAGATCTCGGAAGCTTTCGGATCTAATGTCGTGTGACATATGGTTGCGAGAACGAAAAGTCACGCGACACGTGGACGAGAAATTGTATGGATACCTGACCTTCTGAGAGAAGATAACAAAGGACATTGTTCAGCGTCCATATATAGTTAGTCTAAGAACCAACAATCATGAAATATTATTTTCTAGGTTCAAAATCGTAAGTAAATGACTGTAAAAACAAAGATTATTGACGGACACTTCTGAGAACTTATATTATTAGGAAAACTAAAATTCTTTTGAGGTTATGTTTAATATTCAATTAAACATAAGTCAACCTATGAATTTAGTATGAACTCAGTATGAAGTGAATTAATATTACAACTAATTCATTTTATTCGGTGCGATTTTAAAGAATAACTATTAGGAAAAACTTGGTTAGGTAGGAATCATGAATAAAATAAAAACTGTAGTTTTGGTTCTTATTTATTGACTAATTTTCACATAATTGTAACATATTGTTTATTGTCTTTATTTATATATCACATGTACCTATATTGTGTAAATATGCAGCGTGAATGTGTATTAGGTGTTCTTGAATAATTTGGCAGTATGATCCTCTCAGGATGTTGTGGCACAGGTTCACTAGCACTTGGTAATAAGGTCTCTGCTCTTTGTAACATCGATGGCATATTAGATAGCCGAAATAGTTAAATTAAAAGAAAAACAATCGCAAATAAACACACACAACAGGTAATCCGAAACGAGAATGCACTTTCCTGTATATTAAACTACTCTTTGGAATGCACGAATGCCACAGATTACTACGAATACGAATGCAAACTGCATGCACCACAACCACAGAGTAACAAGTTTTATGCCGGCCCTTCACTTGACAACAGTTTGTCCTTGTCATGCTTAATAAGAAATGAAAAGGACAGACTGATGTCATGTTTTAAAATAGCAAATACGAATAGCCAGGTGAAGTGCCGGCATTAGGAAGAGAGAGTGTTTTGTTTGCAGCGCTGCCATAGATTATATACATAAAATGGTATTTATTGTCTTAGATTATTTTTTAACTTTTTAATTTAGCTTACTTAACTGGAAGTGGCCGTCACAATCTAAATACTGATAATTATCGCAAAAAATATACTAAGAATTATCATAAATGCCAAATTGGTGTTGGTTCTTAGGCCAATTTTAACATTGTCCTTTCTTTTGAATGTTTTGAAAATTGAGATTTTAGTCTCTGACCGAGCAACTTTTCGCAATGGCTTGTCATAGCAAGGGGCATAGATCAACACGGGTTTTTTTCTTTCCTCCCTGGCGTTTTTTTAGTCATGGATGCCTACAGCCGGCTGCAAGGTAATATCAGGCTCTTGCTGATTAAAATACACCCGTAGTAAATGCTTATGCCTGGCTATAAGGGTCTTTAAGCTTCATCTGTAGGGATCATTCCCTGTGAGGTGGATGTTGCGGAAACTACACGGCTGACACGGTCATAGAAATGAGGACGTGTAATATGTATAAAGTTTAATAATAACAATTGGGATCGGTCTGTCATTACGGACAGGACTATTGTTGCCAAAAGGTCTGATATCGTATAGACATATCGATATCACCATCCCGCATGACGAGAACCTCGTGAAGACCGAGAAGGACAAGCTCAGCAAGTACCTGGACTTGGCCACCGAGGTAACCGCTTTGTGGGATGTGGATTCGACGGTCATTGTCCCTATAGTCGTTTTGAGTGAACGGTCTCATAGCGAAGAGTCTCGATCAACATCTAAAGAGTCTCTCGGTAGATGGTTGGGTCAAGGGGCAGATGCAAAAGGCGGTACTCCTGGACACGGCGCGCATCGTCAGGCGGTTTCTTTCTCTGCGGCCCTACCAACCGGTAGCTTGGGCCTAGCTCCGCTGCTGGTGGCCTTCTAGGTTAGGTTTTTTGTACTATATTTATTTTTGTATTTACGTTTTTGTATTCTACTTATATCTTTTTTATAAAAAACCTAACTATGAAATAAAATAAATGAGATAATAATAATAATCAAAAACAAAACAAAATCAAAAATATATTTATTCACCAATACAACTTAGCTTACAATTAAACGGTGGTTTTTGCACTGAGCTGAGTTCGTAACGCAAAGGCCTAATATTTCAGTTCTTCTAAATGATTCGCATTACAATATGTTGACAAAACTCGGGAGGTGAACATTGTGAGTAAGGAAGTTACGGTAATACATAAATGTTGGAGTAACATTATAAGACAAAAAATATGACAATAGTAAAATTATTAAAGTAACTTTAAACATTTTTACTGAATATTTTTACAAGTTCCGCATATATTTAATAAAAAAATCTCGAATTATAATTACTCTATGTGTGTATATGTGAGTGTGAGTCTGTGTGTGTGCGAGTGTGGATGTGTGTATGTGAGTGTATGTGTATGGGCGCCTGTGATAATTTTCAACTCACCCATAGTTAAGTAAGTAGTCAACTTACAGGCCTGTTACAGGCCTGATTATGTCCTCTGTTTCCTGATATGATAGATCCATGAGCCAAGAGGAAACCATCCTTTTGGCACAAATTGTAGACTGAAGGTGAAGATTAGCAAAGGAGCGACAAATCTTGTTGTAAATGAAAGGAAGAAGAAATGTGGTTTGGCGTTGGATGAATGACGTATGTGTGATATGTGACCAAATAGGTATAAAGATGGCACGGTTATTCTTTTACTGCGTTTTATAACCGCTAAACTATTATGATATCGATCAAGTTCTGGGGTCACACACAGGCTGTGAGTTTACGAGGCGATTTTACGAGGCTTGTTTGTCCCGTTTTCCCCCTCGTCAGCCTATTTCACACCTCATTAAATGAGCCCGAATTTACTCCCAGCTAGAGTTACCAGATGATAAAATCAAAAATCCGGAGAAAAGGATTGATTTCCATTGAAAAATCCTGAGATTTTTTACAGTTTGAGAATTTTCTCGCAAACGTACTTAACAATTTAAAAAAGGCGTAATATTATCGTTTATACTCGGCTTATTCTTTTAAATCAATATAATTTGAAGGGCTTAACATGTGGCGCATTATATGAATCTATAATTAAAGAAAAAACCTTACTTAAAAATGTATCATCACATATTTAGTATGATAAAACTGAATAAGTACCTACTTGGATAATAAGGTACTGATTTTAATTGTGCAATTATTACCAATAGAAGATTATTTTTAGTTTATTTTTACTTTTTAATTAAAGAGATCTTTAAAATGTAAGCTGTATTTTAAAAAATCCTGAGATTTCATGAGATTTGCAAAATCCAGCTGCAATCCTGAGAAGAGTCCAAAAAAATCCTGAAATCTCAGGACAAATCCTGAGATATGGTAACCCTACTCCCAGCCCTTCCTATTATGGAGGCTGTTGTTTAAAACATTAATATCTCTGAATACGCGCAATCTAATATTGTCGGTGAAAAAATTAAATGACGCATTCCCTGAATCTTAAATCTCAAGTATAGTTGTCGGAACTGTACATTATTGAATGTGTCTATCGCATACTTTTATGCAATAAAGAACTATTCCATCAGAATTAAGCTAATAAAAAAAAATAATACAAGTTTACAATGTACCCCTATATTAGGGGAGGGGAGGATATTCTCAAACTCTAAAATTCAATATTAAAAAAAAAACAGTATCTTTTATTCAGTCTAGGCTGTTACAAGCACTTGTGAATGTCGAAAAGCTACGCCATCGGTTCGCAAATCTACGGCGGGAGACCTTGTACTGAGAAGAATCGGCAAGAAACTCAGAAAGGGCCGTTTTTTTCTCCCTGTATTATATACAGTCGTCAAATTGAAAAATTACTTCAATATGAGATAACTTATGAACTCACCTTTCATTACAAGTGTGAATGATATAAAAAATTATGACTATAATTTTTTTTTTACATTAAACATTTAACAAAGTTTAAGTGTCGCCGCACACGGGCCACCGACCACAACGACGAAACGCATAACACAACGAATAATAATATAATATATATTGTCGTTATTCATTATAAATAATATATCCCATAACACAACGACGACCTCCGTGGCCGAGTGGTTTGTACTCCGGGTTTCATGGCTGTCGCCGACTCGAGAGGTCCCGGGTTCGACTCCCGGTGGGAGTAGATGTTTGTGTGATGAATTCGAGCATTTGTACTCCAGTCATGGATGTTTAATATGTATTTCTGTATAAATATACTTATATATGTACAGTATATGTATTCTATCCGTTACCCTAGTATTCCATTACACAAGCCTACAGTGCTTACTTTTGGGCTAAGCTAGTTGGTGTGAGTTTAAAAAAAACATTGTTGTTTTCTCCACAGATGGTTCATACAATGATGCCGATAGCACGCTCCATATCCCTGGGCATGTCAGTGATTCTGACCTTGGCTTACCTGGGCCTGGCCCTGGGACTCGGGCCTAATGTAGAAGAGAGCCTGTTCTACCAACAGGTAAGTAAGACTGTTGACTGTACATATCCAAATCTTGAAATAATTGTAACTGAAATTGCATCACTACACTCATAAAGGCCAAATCAGCCCGGATGTTTGTTCGTAACCAACTACAAAGTAAACTAAATAAGATATTAAAATACAACTTGGAAAACCCAAAAGTGCACGCCGCACATTCATGAAACAGAAACCCAGTGAATAAATTCCATTGAATTTCATTAATATCTTTAAAACTGTTATCAGTTCAATCATGATAAGAAATAGGGTTCATCCTCAGTTTAAGTGGAAATTAATTCCAAAGGATTTATTACAATTTTTCTAAAACGTGCAGACAAACAAGTGCACAGACCAACGGACAGCAGCATATTTTTGTTATATAATGAAATTTGATACTCTGGACTGTGAAGGTAACATGAAGAATAAAACTAGTTTTTACGGGTTAATGCACGAAACTTTATTTATTTATTGACGTTTCGTAGCCTTTACAGGCTACGTCGTCAGAATTAAACTTTTATTTAATTTGTCGAGCTACCTTCGAAAGACTTTTATTGAGCGTTCGGTTATTTCATTGTTCGATTTTTAAAGTTTTATTGTATATGTATGAATTTATTATTTAATTTACTTATTAAAGTATTTTATTTAAATTCTTTTTTGTAATTTTGAGTTTATTTATTTGACCCTAACTACCGTAAACTACCACCGGTTCAAAATTGGGAGACCTTTCTGAGAAGAACCGGCGAAACAAACTCAAGAAAGGCTTTCTATCTCCTTCTTATTTTATTCATTAAAAATCGAACAATGAAATAACCGAACGCTCAATAAAAGTCTTTCGAAGGTAGCTCGACAAATTAAATAAATGTTTAATTCTGACGACGTAGCCTGTAAAGGCTACGAAACGTCAATAAATAAATAAAGTTTCGTGCATTAACCCGTAAAAACTAGTTTTATTTAATGAGTGATGTGCGTGAAAACCTAAGAAACAAATAAATAACATGAAGAATATTGCTATTGTTCCAAATTGAAACTGTAATTTAATTTCTGTTAAGAGAAAAGCTGAGAATGGTATAATTAGTGTTTTTGATAATAAAGGTTGTAAGTTTTATAAAAACTTTAGTTGTAGCGGAGATCTTGTAAAAATAAATGAAAAAATACGCTGACTTTATAATTTAATATGTCTAGTTTACGAAAAAAATTAATGATTATGATATGTTTTTTTATTGATTTAGTGTCTAACTTGGGAGATAAGAGCGATTTTATATTGTAAAATCGTCACATAGCGGCCTATCGAGAGTAAAGCACTCCCACACGCTTACGCGTTCTGAGGCGTGCAATATAAAATGAAATGACTAGACGATGCAGAAATTAGTAAATATAATTTAAAAAAAAAACGAAACCGATTATTGAATCGGTTTCGTTTTTATCGGTTTTTTTTTCGTTAGGAAAACGACTAAAATTTTTCTTTGCTACGTTTATTAAAACTCACATCATTCAGTCATAATGCTCATTTTTACACCTTTGAATACATTTTTTTTTTCATAAACGTATAAAGCTTATGAAAAAAAAAAGTCGTATTCAAATATAATATTTCTATTTAAATTTTAATCTAGCAATACAGTCTGACTTTTTCATTTAGCTATTGCTTATATTTTTGTTTTTTTTTTATTATTAAAGTGAAATATTACACCCTCGCAATTTATTCGTTCGTTAGTAGCATGTCGCATTAATTCTTAATTATATATTGTTTTACACTTTCATGGTCACTAATATTACAGTTATTTATTTATTTACGGGATTGTTGCCATGTAACTTGTTTTAGAGAGTTTCCGATATTTCGGCACTGTTGCAATGCCCATGATCACGGAGTAACTGTATCAATTACTAACAAGGTACATGGTAACATCCCGCAAATAACGTAAATTACTATACCTAATATTTTTAATTGTTATTAAAAATAAGTCTTCAACAACAAGCATTGGTTGGTTCAGCGGTTGAAAGCTCGCCTGCTACACGGGCGGCCTGGATTCGATTTCCAGCTTAGAAAGGACTATTTTTTATTAATATAATTTGAAAAGTTTACTTGTATCAAGATTTTCTGAGACCATTTTTCAAGAACACATACTAAAGTACCTTTTGTTTGTATTATCTTTAGTATAGAATAACGTACAATGTCAAGTCTTTAGGTAGTTAATGGCATAGTGACAAGGGAGCCGCCAAGGGGAGACCCCCCCCCCCTCTCCTTCCCAATATATAGACAAATGTAAAGCAACCAAAGTCCTTAGTCCACACATTTGACTTGCTTGCTTGCTGACCAAACATTTCTGCTTCCTGATGAATTGAATTCAATCCAAACCAATATCGAATTTTGACATTTCGCACTCGCAAACTATTCGAATTCGTTAATGTTTCGTGTTAAGGGTGCAGTTTCAATAAACAAACTACATTAAAAGGTAAGGATAATGTAGTACCGTTTCTCAGCAACGCTGAAAATTGCGTATAAAAATTTCAAAATTCGAGACTTGGCTCTCGACGATTTCCACATCGAAAATTAGATTTAATTAAAAGACATTTACACAAAGAATAGTAAGTAATTACACTATGCTTCTATTTTTTGCTTCTTTTGACACAAGAAGTCTTTAGTGGTGCTAACAAAAGTTTAATTTTGTCATATTTGAAGGCTTCTAGTTTCATTGAAACACAAGATATCGAAAAAAGGAAGACATAGAAGCATAAAATGAGCAAAATTATATTTTTTGTATGAAAATCAAATCGTTAGTGACAAAGATCAAGGAGGAATCAGTCGATGACGTTTGTATGGAAAAAACATTGCGTGCCTGGGGAGGCTGGCCATAGGAGGGGTCCTATTATATTAATATCCGTCCATCCATCAGCCTTTCTCCGTCCACTGCTGGACATAGGCCTCCCCATAGAACGCCACAATGCGCGGTCCTGCGCTATCCGCATCCAGCGGCTCCCAGCACATTTGACGATGTCGTCAGTCCACCTTGTTGGGGGCCGCCCCACGCTGCGTCGTCCGGTACGTGGTCGCCACTCGAGGTCCTTTCTTACCCAACGGTTGTCAGATCCTCGAACGATGTGGTCTGCCCATTGCCACTTCAGTGTGCTAACTATATCATTAAACATTGGCTAAATAACCCGTAATTCAAAGTACAATGCCAACAATAGAATAACAAGTCGCAAACCTAATGATAATGGATACTACCACAATAAACAGAGCTGGGTCATCTAATTCGGTAGGGTAACTGTGATATCGGGAACAATGGCCGTTAAGCTGAAACTATCAGATTCTCAGACACTTGCTTAATTTTACTGTAACATTGTAACTGTTGCTAAGGGTCGATTTATACTAGCACAGAGTCGAAGCGCATCGAAGCGTAAAATTCTTTACAACTAAAGTGCTATTGCATCACTTGCCAGTTGACCTAGCATCACAGGCTAATTTCCGACTGATGACGTGTAGGTTCGTTAGTGAGCGCACCAATCAGCGTTGGTCATGCGCAGACGCGCGAATTCGGTTGAATGGGCGCGCGTCTTTTTAAATCTCCGAAGTAATGTGTGCAGTCCACTTTGGAGATAAGGTTGAATTTGCTATGTTAATAATTGGATTTACGCTTCGATGCGCTTCGCCTCTGCGCTAGTTTAAATTGACCCTAAGAAGGGAGAACGACAAATGACTCAGGGTTCAACGCCTTTGTTTCACAGTAAAGGATTAAGGACGACTTATAACGATTTGAATAATATTTCATCGAAGTTCCAGGGGCGGGAGTATCTACCAACTTACTGATTATTATAAATGTCATAAATTATCCTACTAAAGCCTTTCTTAGTAGGCGCTTTCGAAGACAGACTCCATGATTGTAAATATCTGTATTAACACTTGTCAATGCCACGCCTCTTATATCATTTTTATATCATTTACATTTGTGATGGAAAGTGACTTCATGAGTTAAGTTATCTCATATTGAAGTCATTATTCAATTTGACGACTCTGTAATACAGGGAGAAAAAACAGCCCTTGCTGAATTTCTTGCCGGTTCTTCTCAGTACAAGGTCTCCCGCCGTAGATTTGCGAACCGATGGCGTAACTTTTCGACATTCACAAGTGCTTGTAACAGCCTAGAGTGAATAAACGATATTCACTATTGAATATCTATTCTTGTCACTCTCTTGTATGCTTCTTTTAGAACTGCCTTTACTGACTGTCTTTTCCTTTTATTTTTGTAATATTTGTAGTTATAATCCTTTCCCCTAACCGCCGTTTTCTTTGCTGTCCTCGTCAGGCGCGTTATTGTTGGTTGATAATATCGGATGCGTTATTGCGATAAATTTTTATACTACTTTTACTCGGTTATTATCACAGCAGTGTGTAACTTTGTAGCTGTCCTAAAATATAACGTACTAAAATCAGTTATCGCAATAACGCATTCGATAATAACGCGTCTATGGGACTGAGGACTTATGTCTCCACTGCTGCAGCATAGGGTGTGGGTCCGGTACAGATTGGTGAGTGCCAACGACTACAAATGCAGCCGGGACTAGCGGCTTAATGTGCCTTCTGAAACACGTAATAGTTCATGATATTAAAATTTTGGTTATCTGTCAGAACGAACTTGCTAAGGGCTTAGCCATCCGATGGGCTTTTTTTTATTACGCGATAACGGAAAAGCCGTTACCAGCGCTTACGGCATACTATCCGCTTAAAAAACCCTGCGAATACCTTCTACGCTATTAAGTGCGGAACCCCGCGGAATCCCCATTGAGGGACTTCACTGCGTCAGCCATCCGATGGCTTAGGGAAGGTCAAGTTTATATACATAAACGATGGGTGTAAAAGTATGAATGTTGGGTACATGATGCTCAGTTGGGATTAGTAATTCTAAAATTACCTAGTGAATTCGTTGTTCGTGAATGATGATTTTTGTCTAGTGGGGCAACTGTCGCCGCTTGGCGACGCCCTTGATAACCACTACGCATGCTACTTT